GGCATCCTGGTACAGGTGGGAGGTCAGGCTGGGTGTGGAAGCAGCCATCCCAAGTCACTTGCTCAATAACCTCTGGTCCCTGTAGAGAAGGGGTGATGAGGCAATCAGTTCTCATTGCTCTTGCTTGTAAGCCATGGCAGGCCAGTGCCACCAAAAACACCTCTGCTTCACACTGCTGCATGGTATGTAGAACAAGGCAAACTGTCTTGAATCAGGCGTGAAATCCACATTTGGAAGCAAAGGTGGAAGCCAGTACAAGTCAGATGTTATGAACTAGAGCAGACCAGAGTTTAGTTTATTATCTGAAGCTTGGGCATCAATCTGTTCTGGAGCTTATAGTGGTTAGTAACTTGTTTACTCTTTGGATAGTTTATCTAAACTGAGATCACTTCAATTTTACCACTATAAAGAGGCATGGAATATGAAGTTTTTCATCCTGATCATCTAGAAAAGACTTTGATGTGTTCAGATGCACTGAAATCCAGCTTTAATCTGGTTTTGGTTTTGCAGAATGATAGGCTTACTGAGCTTTCATAAACCCAGTATCCAAGTGCTCCATCTTACTTTGGTTTTTGTTACCTATCTTGAAAACGGGATTTTAAGTCATGCTGAAGTGCAGCTTCAATTACATTCTATTAATAAATAATCATTTAATTATGACTTATTGCAAGATCGTACCCCACCAAAGACTGGCATTTAGAGGATTATGCCTGCAGGGATGAGGCCAGCTCAGTTTCAGAGCTGTATCTCCTTGGTATGACTGTTCCTGATGGATTGTGAAATATATGTCCTTATTGGAGTTGCTGTTAGCTTCATAATTGCTCTGTAATTACTAAAGAGAGAGAATCTTGCACTTCTGACAGCCAGGTGCACATATTGCTTAATCTCTATTATTGACTTGGCTCAGTTCCTGTGGGTGCTTTCCTATTTTCTCTCAGTTGTGCAACACCAAAACTGACTGAACCGTGTGTCTGCTGTTTTGTTCCTGCTTAGGAACTAACAACAAGAGCAAATATAGGCAAACTTCAGAGAAACTGGAGAGGCTGCCTGCCACTGTGTGCTGGCCTGGGCTGGTTGAGGCTGCTACTGCACAGAAATCACATGGACTGATGGGAGCAGAGCCTGGCAGTCCTGCCCCTGGCCCCAGTCTGTGCTGCAGCAGTCACGGCTGAGAAGAGGCTGAGGGGCTGTCTTCTGGACAGCTTCAGGCTTGAGTTGATTAAAGGGTTTTCTCAAACTGCAGTCAAGAGCAGGACAACAGTGAGAAAGCAGTGGGTTGTCAGCAGCTCCAGGAACGGTCCCTGCTGTGGGGAACTGCTATTTGCCTGTTCTGAGATGTACTGGATCAGAGCTGATGCAAAAAATCACAATTTGTCAGGCTTTTCTGAGGCTTTGGAAATATTTCGGTGGCCTTGACTGCATGTACTGGCATTTTAATAGAGCTCAGTGCAAGGGCTTTTTGGTGCAATCAGTCAGCAGATAAGCCTGTTGAGAGAGAATGTGAATGCAGTGCCTCTCTCTGGGTCAGCAATGGAGATGTACCACCCTTCTCTTCCTCTGAAGAGCCCAAGTGAGCAGCAAGGGATCTTTCTGGGCACAGTGCTAGCTGAATCTTTGTGCTTTTGCTTACATGTGATTTTTTTTTTTTTCTCTCCCTGTCTTTTTTTTCCAGAGGAATAAGTGTTTCTGGAATATGGTACTGTCAGCTCTTGACTCCCCAGCAAAGCAGAAAGCAGTAAAACTGCTTTCTCCAAATATGACTTGCATATCAGGCCTGCAGGGCTTCTTTTAGCAACCTGGCCCCGGGGGATGTCTGCCTGGCTCCTTGGTGCCTCTGCAAGCTGCTGTCACCTGTTTGCTCTGCTCTCCTTCTGTGAGGGAGATGTGTCCCACCCACTTGGGATGTGGACTCCAAAATTTGGAAGCTGTTCATGTCAGTTCTACCTTCTGGCGTGGTTTTGAGGTCAGATGATGCCAGTGTGTTCTTCTGCTCCTCATCCTCAGTGGACTGAATGCACTTGCCCTGCCAGTTCTCAGCAATATTCTTGTCCATGCAGGGTATGTGAAACAGAAGACAGTCTGCCTCCTGCCTCTGTATTTTGTATAATAATAGGTGAGCTTTCTGGTTGCTCTTTTCCCATTTCCTCTCTCATCACTGCCTGTTTTCTGCTGAGGAGATTTTAGACATGAGATAAAGCAAAACACAGACACGTTTCAAGCAGTGCTGTGCAAAAGCAGGAGGGGAATTTTTAATTTCAGTAAACAGTCGAGTCTTCAAGGCCTCTCAGTGCAGTTCTAGGAAACACTTTGAACTGGAGAAGGATATGAGACTTTCTGCATGACTCATGCTGTTAGCAGACTGCCAGTTTTGCAGCCTGAGAGGCTGGTAACACCACAGAGCAGGTGCACTGGTGGTGCTGAGGCCTCACGGTGCAGGCAGGTAGCTGCCCCGGGGCTGCTGTGGGGACACATGGTCCCATGTGCAAGGAAATCCTTGTCTTTTCACCTCTGCAGCTCAGTAGCTCTGGTAATTGGACTGTGTGGAGATAGGAATAGGGGCTCTGTGCATGGGAGCGACTGCATCTTAATGTGTGACTGCAAATGTAGTGGGAAAAGGGAAGAGAAAGCCATTTTGGGGAGGCTGGAGGCTATGGGGGAGATTTGGGCAGAAGCAGCTGCGTACTGTAGGGTGAGAAAATAAATTTCATGTATGCATGGATACATCCTGATATGGTGTGGGGGGCACTTCGCTCAGCATGTGGGAGCTGAAGGGAAGCTTTGTATGCAGCTGTTTTGTGCATGATGAGTTGTTATTACTGCTGCACCTTCACTTCCAGTAAACTTATGGCTTCTCGTGCAACTTCTGCTAGTAAATGGAAGTGGCAGGATTGGGAGGTAGGGAACAGATGCAAATGCAGCATGACTGGGCTTTGTCAGATACAGCTGCAGGATAGTTAATGGTACAGAGTGGGGTCAGTGCCTCAGTCTGGGTGAGACTTCGCCACAACTCGCAACATACTTGCTTTTGGAGCTGTAACGCTTTTCCTTTTCTGCTGGTTGTGGTGTGGTCTTACATATTGCCCCTTCAGATAGCATGTCCAGGTGCTTTCTGCATAAATGTAGAGGATGTACAGCAGCTCAGCTGCTTCTCCAAGAAAGCCGCCTGGACCCTTGCTTCTGCCATCAGCCAGATGGGATTTGGCTCCTTTAAGCCTGCTTCTGTTTCTA